CCAGGTTAAACAACTCCAGCTCCCTCAGCTGCTCCTCATTAGACCTGGGCTTCAGAATCTTCACAAGCTTCATAGCCTTTTTCTAGACTGATTCAAGCCCCTCAACGTCTTTCTTGTAGTAGAGGCCCAGAACTGAAAACAGGATTCAAGGTACAGCCTCACTAGTACTGACATCACTGCTCTAATCCTGCTGACCACACTAATCAGTACTGATGAACAATTAATAACTCTTTGATGCACTTATCACCCACTTCAGAGCAAAATGTAAAGAGAATCTGTGATTCTTTCATCCTTCCTCATATAGAAAATAGATTAGGTTGTAGATTAGACTTCCCAATAAAGAGAAAGAGAAAGAGTGAGATTTCAGGTGAGTATTCCAGTGAATACATTGTATTAGCAAAACAAAGAAAGTTAAGTTTCTCATTTGAAAGAAAATTATATACCAGTCTTCTCCAAACTGTGATCTTGTTGGAAACAAGAAATAGTGTGATACTTTCCATTCTCTCTGTTTTTGTCTCTGTATTTTTCTCCTATTCATATGACAAGTAGACAAAGTTAATTTTTGCAAAATGAATCTTCAAACACTAGTAAACGATTACTAGACCACATCAATATACAAACTTCCTGTAAAACTTTTCAATGAAAGGTAAAGGAAGATGAGACAATCAAATTTTAAAAGTAAACCAATTAGGCCTAGATACAGTGTAGGATTTCTGGGTTTGTGACCTCTGTTTAAATATAATTCCAATTTTCTTTGCCACTCATCTATGAACGTATGCTATTGTTTATGTTGCTTGCAGACAGATGGACTATGCATTTGGCTACAGGAATGGACATATAATAAGAAAAACAGCTCCTGAAACCTGTACAGATTCAGGATTTCTTTTCAGAACTTTTTGTTTCAACACCATCCAGAAGCATTAATTAGGTCACTGGGCTGGATTCTGTACAAAATGCGGACAGAATATATTCAGTGAACAGCTCTATCCATGAATTTACAGTGCAATAATGACTACATTTTTTATATACTTTTGAAAATCTATCTATATATATAAATTTACAAGCTGAGGAGAGGTCAAGAAAATTATCTCTATAGCTAACTTTCTACATTATTATTATACTGTGTGAATAAAATAACTCATATTTTCATGAAAATACTGATGAGTCACTGGACATGAAATTCAAACTCAGAGAATCAAATCCAAAACTCTTGACTGTTCTGCAAAACTGTTGTCAGAGCAAAGTACAGTCAGATAAAGTAATCCAGCAGACTGATTAGCATTAATCAAGTAAAAGTTTGAAAACTGGTATGATTGAAACAGTACAAACAAGATATGAAGTCCTGTTCAAGGGTCTTTTGTTTCCGGATTATGTATAACCACATCTCTGGCAATGCCTCCTCCAGATACAACTGCTGACAAGGCAGGAATCCATCACTATGTCCAGTCAATTCAATAAGCCAGAATCACTAATGATGTATGAATGCATTTGTTATGCTTTTCTTAAAGCCAAGATTTTCAAAGCTAGTTTTCTAAAGTTTTGCTTAGATATTTGTTTTCAGGTGCTGTTTAACTCAACTCACATTAATACCAATAAGTAATCAGAAACTCAATTTATGCATGCTGTTTTTAAAAGCTTGGGTCTCTCATTTTTGCTTCTTTGTGTGGATGCTAATATAGGAAAAATATATGGTTTTCCTATAAAAAAATTGAAAGTTTGTTTCCTGTGCAAAATAAAAACACTATGGAGATTACGGTTTTGTTCTCTTCTACACATTTTTAACATGAGCTTAAATTGTCTTCACAACTGCGTTAACATTATTGTGTTTTATCTAACTAAAAATTATAAAGCATATGAAAGAAAAAATAAAACAATGCATACATATGAAATGGCTATAAAGACAAGATTAGGTAGGAAAATTGAGTGAATTGCAATTCCACTTGCAGTGTTCTGTATCTTGACAGAACCTGACTAATTCCCTGCTTTTGGCCAGAGGCTCCAGATTTCCATCCCCACCTTCAGGCTTGCCAAGTCTCGTTCATCTGGCAGCTCTGCCATGCATCCTTCTGCCCAGCCGAGGTATAGTGTGTCCCGCTGACAAAACAGCAATTTCTGCCATTGATTGCCAAGGGCCTCGATGGCACCTGCTCAGCCTGCAGCCATCTGACCTCCTTTCCCACTATCCCCAATCCCCTCCAGCAAACCCCACAAAGCCTCAGAGTGGGTTTAAGGTTGTCCAAGATTCTGATTCCGCTGGTGCAGCCTTCTTCCCAGGTAGCAGGTTATATATCAGTTAGCCAGCCTCACAGCAGCCCTGTCAACCCCCTTTTTGTCTTACCAGGGCTCTGTTTTCCCCACAGCTTTAAGTTCACCTGATACAGAGTGTGCCTGCTGAAATAGCACTGTGTGCACGAGTTGCTCAGCCCTGTTGTCAGGTTCACATCAGTCACAAGTTCCATTCTCTGAAAACAGCCATACAACAGCTTCAGTTCCTAGTGGGTTGTCAACAGTAATTTGTCAGTCTGTTATTTTTCATTTGGATTACAATACTTTTGAACCTAAAATTTTTGCATTTACTTGATTTCTGATTTCTAGTTGCCCAACCGCAACTTCTTTTCTTGTTCTTATTTTAGTTGGGATTCTCAGATAAATTCCAATCCAAACTACTTCACATTTAATAGCAGGAGAAATCTTTCTTTCAATTTATTGTATGACAGTGGGTACTATGTTTAAACTAGTGGCAATTACTTCTCCATGATCATACAGAATTAAGAAAGAAAACTTCTTCCCAGTGAAAAAAATGCCAAGTAACCTACGTAGAAATGAAAGCTTTTCTATTCCTGTGAAGGAAGAGATTGATTATAGAGACACGGACACCAGCCACATGCCTGCAGCTGTGTCATATGAAGCAGAAGGGCACATATTACCTTGGCTGAAGGATGGGGACTCCCTCTGCAACTTGATAAATCTGATTGATGGTACCTTGAAGCATTCTTCTGTATGTGATCTCATGCCAGTGTACTGATCACTGCTACAACTAGCTCTTATTATCGACCAGAGTCAGTACTAAAATCCTTGATTCAGCAACAGCTTCATTTACAGGTTTTCATTTGGCTTTATGGCAAATGAAGAATTTACCATAAAGAGGAGAGGGTTAAGGACTGGTTTAAAATGTCTTAATGTTTCACATGTAAATAATTGTTAATTAACCAAAACTCCATTAGGAAGTTAATAGTAGACAATTAATTTAAATGGAAATGTTCTTGCTACTTCTCAGTTTTGTCAAGGCGCAGTACAGGCAGCATGTTAAATCACCACATTTTTCCAACAAGCTATTTGAAATCTGTGGCAGCCGGATTTGATTGATGCAGTGTACCAGAGAGCATAAGTATTGCAGAAAATGCTATTTCAGAGTTCAAAGCAGTTGAAAAATTGCTGTTTAATAATTTAACAGTGAAATGAAAATAATGTAAAGAAGATTACCCATGGTCTTTTATTGGGTGTTATTCATAGTAACATTCTCATTTCTAGACCTGTTTTTTTTCAAGTTATATTTTTAATCAAATTCTTTGAATGAAAGCTTTGTTCTTTTTAGTGAGAGTGAGGCCAGAGGGGGGACCTCTTCTAAAAGAACAAACTATCTTGTTGAACAATATGGCAGAACTAAAATTTGCTCTGTGTATCTTACTTTCCTTTTGTTTCTGTCACAATGATACACAAACAATTCAGCAAAAATCTCTGTCCCTCTGGAAGCTATTGTTTTCTTTGTGTGAACTCTTTAAAAGCACTTGCAAACATTCAGCTACATCCTGTTTTAATATAGCACAGATGAGAAGTGGACTACTAGTATAACTATTACATTTCAGTGTTTCTCCTGTGCCCAGGGCTTCCTTTACACTCAAGATGAGTTGCTTTGCCAGAGTACAAAATGTCTCTTACACATGCCCATTTCCACCCAGTTACAGTTCTCCTTCCAGAAATCCTGAAGAACAGGAATCCCAGGACATTTGAAATATAGTAAATTCAGACTGCAAACCCTTATATTGGACACATAAAGTAATAGATTCTTGTGTCAATAGCATCCACATCTCATATTTCCAGGAAGATCTAAAAATTATTTAAATGCATATCTTTGAAAAAGCAAAACATAGTATTATTTGTTTGCAGTTTTTTTCTGTACAACTGCCTCCACTAAAATAAATATTCAAAGCTTATCACGTAGCTGGACAATCTGGTGAAATATCAGTTCTAAGAATTTCCACAATTGTTCAACAAATTGTTCAGTTTCAAATGTTGATTAATCTATTTGAATATCCTGGCTAATGGAAATCCAGTTTTCAATAGAGATTATTTGCTAAATCCTCTCTATATTTGAGAATACAAACACAGGTTGCAAATGTATTTGGGTCATTGTCTCACCCTATAATTTTTGCAGTATTTAGTATACCTGGCCTGATCCTTTTGCTTGCTATCTAAGCACAAAAGAACAATTTCCATAAGAGTAATAATTCATGTCAGAGTGTTTTTAAATTTGAACTGGTGAAAACATTCTGTAAACTAATTCAGACATTATTTTACTTGACAATAAGTTTATTGATGAAACTGATATAAATTGCTGGAATTCCAAACACAGCTGTAACAATGGAGATTTTTTTGCTGCAGTGCAAAAATATCCCCTACTGTGCAAAAATATTCACTAAGACATTACAAGATTAAGCCAGTCTAGAGCTGTTGTTTAAAGAAAATCACCATCAGTCACTGCTTTTTTTACAGAGTCTGGAACAGCATTATCTAGCAACCTCTAGTAGTTTGATGCTGCTCAGAGATTGGAGGGTCCCATTCATTACATCAGTCGTTCTAGATTCATGTTTTGGCTCATTGTGCTCTCTGATTCCAGAATCTTCCAATTTCTAAAAATCTTCCAGTTTCTAAATACATTTTCAGTAGGTTTTCAAAAAATTTTCAAAGAACTGTTTTTTTTTTTCTTAGTTCTCATCTTCTGTCTTCCTATATGCTGCAGATTTACTTCTGTAAAATAAAATTAAGAATACAATTTTATATATTTTGTTTATGTATGGAAGGTTATATTTGAAGAAACTTTTGCTTTCTGTTTAAAATGAAATAAAAGAATAAACCTTCTTTCCAGTCAAAATACAAGATATCCAACATATAAATTGCAAAGCTGTTTTCTCAGTTCTGTAAGCAGCAATGTATACAGGTAAAGCAGTGCATGTGCAGCAGTCTGAAAATATCAAGCTGCAGAGTACCTCGTATGTTAATCTGACATAAAGTGAAATCAAGCAGCAGCCAGCAAATACTTATTCTTATCACAGATGTTATAGCATATCTTACGGTTGCTAACAAATAGCTTACATTTTCTTGTAAAAGAAATAGGGAGAAAACACGCTGACCTTTTTAACGGACAATAGAATCACCTTCTACTGGGAATATTCACACATTTAAATTTACCAAGGCATTTAGTTGCTGTCCTGGAACCATGTCAACATGTCTAACTTCTTTCTGTATTAAGTACATTGGAAACACTGCCCCAGAAATTACTTAATTTTTAAAAAGAGACGAAAACAAACTTAAGGAATTCTAAATAGGGGTTGTCAAAGGGCATATACCACCTTGTGTTTCTTAGTCATGTATGACAAAACACTGAGAAACATGATCAGGGAACAGATCAATTTAAAAGAATCACTGATTTAAATGAACAAGAAATACTATCCACAGCATTACCCACCATAGGAAATTATTCAAGATTTTAATTAAGAATAAGCCTTATAGAAAATGAATCAGAGAGTATAAAACCAGTTGCTCGTAAATCACATTTTTTTACATTGAATTTCTTAAAGAATTACATGCTGGATTTTTTAACATCAATTCTTGGAATCCCAAAACAGTAATAAAGTTCATTTTTGAAGAATTCCATTTGTCATTTTCCCTATATAAACTCTACAAAGCATTCCCATAATGTGAACTCCTTCTTATTTAATTAATGTCTGTTTAAATCAAAAGGAATTGCTAGTTTGGGATTTGGGAAGAAAAATAAAAAATTGTTTATGTTGACAAAGATAACTGTACTGTGCAGAAAGCAGATGCGAAGTATTTTATTCTGATTTTTTTTAAGACAATACATCAAGGTTTTGTAAACCCGTACCTACTAAATGGGCCTTTTGAAGCTGAGACTAGGCAAAGCCACCGAACTGTGAATTAGCATGGGAATTTAATCACTGCTGTGGTATATGCGGGTGTGTGTTCTTCAGAAAGCTGTGAAGAACTTTTAAATGCCTCATATTTTACATCTGCAGAAATAAGTGCTGATTTACTAAATTACTGATAGTTGTGAAATATTCAGTTAATGGAAGAGAATTACAAAATTACATTTTCATGGTCAGCCTTCGTAAATGAAGATTTGGGAAAGGTCATTACCCTTCGAGCCTGCGCAGTGGATTTTTTAGGTGAGACACAGTGTGCGCTGAACTGAGCCCACCCTTTAATCCTAAGGTTCATCTGCCGGGGCCAAGCGAGCTCGGACAGTGGCAGTGAGGTCCTCAGGACGTAGGTTTGTTTAGAGTGACCTTCTCTTAGATGGATGGCCTTACAGGGCTGCTGAGCTCCATCTGCCTGGAGGAGTTCCCCGACCGGGAATCGAACCCAGGCTGTGGCGATGAGAGCGCCGCATCCTAACCACTAGACCACCAGGGGGAATTACAAAATAACTTTGAAATTATAGTATAATTTGTTTTGAAAGAATCCTGCTGAGTTTACCCAGATCAACCAGCCTGCTTGAGCAGGGTCAGTTATAGCAGATTGCCTCAGATGTTGTTCAGGTTTTGAATATCTCCACAGATGGACACTTCACAACCATTCTGGTCAACATGTGCCAGTGTTGTACCAACCTCACAGTTGGTTTTCTTGGATTCAGATTAAACTGCCTATTTTTTAATTTGTGGCCGTTGTCTCTCCTACCACTTGGTAGAAGTGAGAGGAGTCTGCCTACTACATCTTCAATTCTCCCATCAGGTGATTATAAGCCTGGGTGATAACCAGGTCGAAGAGTCCCACCTCACTCAACCTGTCCACTCCAGTATCCTAATAATTTCTGTGGTGGCCCTTCATTGGGTGTGCTCCATAAAAGTCCACATCTTTCTTGTACTGGGACGTGCAGAAGTGGCACGGCACTCCAGACATGTTTCATCAGGGCTGAGCAGAGGAAAAGGACGACCCTCCTCAGCTGCTGGCAACAGCCCAGCAGGCAGGTTGTTGGACTTTTTTTTCTTCACAGGAACATTGCTGGCTCAAGGTCACCCTGTTGTCCACCAGGACCCCAAGTTTCATCTCTGCAAATCTGCTTTAGAGGCTGTGTAAAGTGTGTATTAGTGCACGGGGTTATTCCTTCCCAGGTGCAGGATTTTACTTTTCCCTTTGTTGAGCTTCATAAGATTCCTGTTGATCCATTTCTCCAGCCAGTCTAAATCTATGTGAATGGCAATGCAACCTTCTGGTGTCAACATACATACAGCTTATCTCACTTTTTAAATCTCTGGATTTTAAGGGATACATCTCTGAGACATTACTATTTACCTAACTTGGAAGATAGTCAAGTTTTTGGACTACTAATCCAAGGCAGTAATCTATGTTACAATTGTTAAAGTTGCATTGTTTTAATCTTATTCAATGTCCCTGTCTGTATGCAGAAGCTCTGAACTCTTCCCTTACCTAAATCAAGATTACTGAGCCTAGCATAAAGCAGAGCTTCAGCTGTGTTCCAAGACATTGTGGGGGGCAAGAACAACCCTGCCAAAAAAAAGAGCTGACTTTTGTATTAGTCTGGAAATTACAGTAATCACCCAGAAAATGGAGAGGTCTGGTCTCTTGACCTTTTCACTCCAAAATGATTTATACCAGTATTTCTCCTTCTTCAGACAGTCTCGTGTTTTCCAATAAAACCTTGACCAAATAAAAAAAATACAAATCAAGAAAGAAACTTAGCAGTAGAGCTGAGGTCTGTCCTTTTTTGATTTTTTTTTTTTTTAACAGGTTTCAGCCTCTAACTAGATATTTCTCTTCTCTTTCCGTGATAAATGAACTCTCAATGGTTACTTGATAAGCTATTATTTAGGAAACACTCTAGAAAAATATTTTGGCTGCTTTTAAAATGAGGCAGGCCTATAACTAGTCTTCATTAAATGACATTTGAGTACTACAGAAGTGATACCTCCTGGAAACCATACTTAAATCCTACTCAATATATGCACTTGCAGAGAATTACTTCAGCAGTATGTTCCAAGGGGATAAGCATATTCATCTTGAAAACACCATAAACTTTCAAGGAAGCCAACCTTTAAGTTCCAAAATTGAATTCAACAGTACTGATATAGATAGCCCTGCATTTGGCCTTTCCTATTGATTAATGCTAGGTCAGCCCTTCCACAGTATATTCATCTTTTTGGGTTGCACTTTGGAAGCACTGTCTGTTTCTAAATGATTGCGTGGGAAGCACAAAGGTCTAACCCTGACTTTCTTGGAGCATTACTCAGAGGAGAATGTCGAATTAGTCTCTGTGGATTTCACCTGGAGTTCGAATTTATCAGATGCAGCTCTTTATCTTCTTGCCTTGGGATTTAGGCCATTGTCAATATTTAACATCACTTTTAAATGTAAGGAGAAAAAAAAAATCATTATATATATCACAAGCCAAGCAAATAAGAAATGTCCAGAATACTAAAATATTAATTATTTTCTGATTCAGAACATAACCTTGTAATACTTACCTAATAGTTTTGACCTTTCTTATACTAGTATCATCACTATTGTTTTTATAACCAGAAGTTTCACAGTGCCAAATTTCATGTTTTTTTCTTGATGTATTTAAAGTTCACTATTAAGTTGAAGCAAATAAAATGTAAAAGTATAGCAAAGAACATTGAGGGAAATAATGGCAATTTATACGATAGGAGTAAAGTCTATAAACCCATGAACATGTCTAAACAGCCAGGTCTTCTCTTCATAAACCTACATGCTCAGTCCTGCAACAGTAGAACTTCAAATATATTAAAAATTAAATTTAATCTTAAATGTTGCAGAATTGTTTTGGATCTCTAGTTTATCACTGTATAAGTCTGTATTCATACATGTTCATACTTCTTGAAAAGGTACATGAAAATTGTGGGAAAACTTGTCCTTCTCACGGAACGCTGTCAAGAACTGAGAAAGTTCTGGAGACTGCAGAATGTGGTTGGGTGATGAAGAGTCCTAGTACAGTGCTGAAACCCATGTCTGAAACGATGGAAGATCTTGCCAACCCACGGGGCCTTAACAGAGTTTGCTGCTACTCAGGAAAATTACTAAAGCTATGATGACTTGGAGACGGCATGCCCATCTGAAAGGACATAGATAAAGAAGGAGACATTGTGTGCCAACCTTTTGTTCTGTTCTGTCTTCCCCAGTTGCAGAAAGTGGCAAACACTTATAGCAGGTAAGTCAACAATTTACAACTGCAAACTTTAGCCAGAAATTGTATTTCAGTCAATGTTCTTTGTTATCACCCATCTCTGATGGCTTTTTTCATTTTCCCAAGCAGACTCTGATACATGGAACGACCTGCCAGGACTAGGTTTGCCTATGCCAAGAATTCTCATATCTCTACCTGTGCTCCTTTCACTGCAATACTCACATAAAAGCAATCAACTTTTAATAATAAAACCAGCTGAATTGAGCTTATAATTTTAATTATTTGTAAATGTGAAAAATGTTTTCAAATTATTCAAAACAATTAATTTTTGCGCATAGCTAATCAGTGTAACTAAATACTAGTACTACAGTCACTGTCATCTGCTTTCTTTCCTTCCTATCTGCTGTCTTCAAAGGGCACATTTCAAATTAGATGGTAATTCCTCATGGAAGCTTTTCCTCATGTACAAGTCTTCATCTTCAAAGGGTCAATTCATTCTGTATAGGCAGAAGCTATTTTTTTAAATGCAGAAGCAAGTCTTTCAGGATCAGAGAATAAAGAAAAGATATATGAACATATTTTTTCCTGTAATGATAATTCGGTGCTGATTCCAGAAGAATATACTAGATACTTATCCTTACAGTATCAGCTCTTCCTATTAGCAAAGATTTTGCTTTGGCTTTAAAATTTGAAGTTGTAAATATTTTTTGGAATATACATATTTATGATGTGTCAGTGGAAGAACTATTCACATGGCAAAAATCATTTTCATAAAAAGAGTTGATTAATAACTTTGGATGAAGTCTCAAAAGTATGTATATAAGCCCTCAATTTATAGGAGCCTCACTTTCTATTCCTTTTATCCTTCACAGAATGACTCCACATAAGACAATTTCCTGATGTCTTTGTGTGTACTCTCCTCAAAGAAGCCAACCAGTCTTTGTTATGCCAAAATCCTACTCACATTTACCTATCTCCAAGTAATCATTCCCACGAGATGAAAGTATTGTTTACTTCCACAGTAAAACAATGTATAGGTAATTTATGGCACTCTCTACACTACATTTCCAGTAACATAGTCAATGTATAAACTCTCTTTCTAAACCTTCCTGGATTTTTATGACTGTATCAATAGATTCATGCCCTAGCATCTATTTAAGGAAGCTCTGCAGTCAGGGATAGATCTTAAATTCTAATTCTGACTGCAGCTTGGTGTCTACCTCAGCATCTCTTGAAGGCATAGAACAGCCATTTACTCATCACTTCCTGAAATCAATAGTTTCTTACCTGAAAATAAAAAATAAAAAAACAATGTCAGATTGCCAGCACAAGGAGAAGTGTTCATGAATCTATCTCTGAAAAACGCCACAGGGGCAGCTACTTTCATCTTTACCCACCTCTCCATCCTTCTCCAATCTAGCAGGTCCAAACTCAGAATAGGTAATTGAGTTGTAACGTAGTTGGATTAACATTTTCTGTGCCTAACGGAAATCAAAATAATTTGTTTTCTATAGAAATGTTTGAATTAGGTTTTGTTCTAACTGATCAACAGAAAACCTAAATGATAATAGAAATTAAAACTACATGAGAGAAAACAGCCTGTGACATTCACAGTTTACCATGTGTACTGATGTAATTTTATTATATGCCACATAGAAGCAGCTGTCCTTGACATGACTAAGTGAAATCTTTCAATCTTCGATATTTGAAGATGTCAGCCAGATGCAGGGTATCAAACCATGCTACAGAAAGGCTGAGTGCTCACAGAGAATCTTGTTCGGAATAATTAGATTTTGATTCATTAAGGTAGACACTAAGTAAAATAGAACTGTAGACAGTAAGAATCATGTTTTATGTCAAAAAGTTTGACTAGACTTCTCAGTACATGTTACAAGAAGAGAAATGTCTTGAAGCATGGATAGTAGTAAAGCTTTACATGGTTTGTGATGTTCATGATAGTTGGAAGTCAAATAACTTCCCTTATGTTATCCACTTCCTAGCATATGTATTTATTTACGCACACATACATGCACACACGTATATATATACATGCAGATGCATTTGTGTCTTTTTAAGGTCTGAGCAGAGGTAGAACATATAACCCTTTTAGACAAGATCTACTTTCCAGCAAATAAAATTACAGGCTGGAATGTTTTTACATGGTGTACCTAGTATTCCAAAATCTATTCTGATTCATGGACTGTCCAAATGTTACTCTGTGAGTGACATAGTTATTTTCTGAAGTTTTATCTACTATCACAGTAAAGTCTTAGAAATACATGTGAATGGATAGATGAAAGTAATTCACTGCAAATACAAAAGTTGCCTTTCTCTTTAAAGAAAGGCTACTGAAGTCAATACATCTTTTGTCCATGTACTTCTCCACAGATAACGCTG